AAATAATAAAATTCCAATGCTTATAAAGTTCTCAATCAATCTCTCACCTGTCTAAATGCAAAGAGAACTTGAACCACACAACCATAAGATTGAGCACATCTTAAATTCAGAAGCATATAAAACTAAAAGTAACAAAAAATCTAATCTATAAGTCAATATTCTTTGCAAATGATCAACAATATACATAGGCTCTAACCTTACCAGGTCATAATCAAATATAGCAAGTAAACTCTTACACAATACATTTTTTCCAATTTGTATAAACATATCATATTGGATTACAGTTTATTAGTAACTAAATTCACAGAGAGGACTTGATAATAACGCCAAGTGTTCACGGGTTTACATCTTTAAATTCTTAACATGTAATGAAATAGGAAAAAAAAAAAGAAAAAAAGAAAAAAGGAAACCATAAAACAAAAGCTCACAGTTCATATAGAAGTTTTGCAATGAGATTTGATTTAAAAAAAAAAAATTGGGTGACATATATTAATTAATGATCAGTTTTGTCTCCTGATTCTATGTTTTATCTCCTCATCACTTTCCGGCTACAATCCGAGAATCCAAACGACACAGGAATTGTAGTAATTTCATTATGATCTTCAAAGTAATAAACCACCTCAGCTGGACTTCCAAATTTAGACTTACAGCCGCATCCTTTTTTTTTTGAATTAAATCAGGTAAGAAACAATGTTACCACAATTCTCATACACAAATGTTTCTAATCAAATAATATTTTAAAGCACGAAAATACTTCAGATAGATATATGTGAAATCCAAATAAGTTCATATGTACAAGAAAATAGATAATAAATCTAGTGAAAAATGTCATTTTAACATAATGTAGATCTTCTCCATCCAATATAACTCATTTATGAAATGAAATTTTTTGGAGAATATCAAAAGTAGGATGAAAAAAATTTAAAACTCTTTACAGAAGAATAAAAAAAGAAAAAGAAAAAGAAAAATTCTACTTTACTTTTTCATACAACCAACAATTAACAACACCATTAAGGGATGAGTTTTATCAGTAGATACTGTTTTCTAGTTAGTGAAAATTTATAGAATTCAAAAAGATAAGGTAAATGCTAACTATGGCTACCATAGTTCATAAACCACAATGCTTGATAATTTCCATTGGAGTTTCTAATTAAATACTCTGCTTTATATCTTATTCAATTTGTAGTAAACATAAAAGAAATGTGTTAGTCATTTCAAACACAGAAAATCAAGATATAGAATTTTTAAAAAAAACATAAATAACTTCTCAGTATATAGGTTCTTACAAGGTGATTTTGTTGCCTTTCATTTTTCAGTAATTCATATATTTTCCATGTACGTTTGTATTATCATTTTCCTTTCATAAGAGAAGCTTTTCACATAAGTTCATATGTATAAGAAAATAGACAATAAATCTAGTGAAAAATGTCATTTTAACATAATGTAGATCTTTTCCATTCAACAGTCCGATTAGGGTATAACTCCTCTATGAAACAAAATTTTCTGGAGAATATAAAAGTAGGACCAAAAAATGAAAAACTGTTAAAAAAAAAAAAAACTACATTTTTTTATACAAACCAACAATTAAGGACACCATTAAGGGATAAGGTTTATTAGCAGATATCGTTTTCTAGTTAGTGAAAATTTATAGAATTCGAGAAGATAAGGTAAATGCTAACTATGTCTACTACGTGAACCCCAATGTTTGATAATTTCTACTGGAGTTTCTAATGAAATACTCTGCTTTATATCTTATTCAATTTGTAGTAAACATAGAAGAAATGCATTAGCCATTTCAAACACATAAAATCAGGATATAGAATTGTTTAATAAACAAAAATAACTTCTCAGTATATAGGT